ACTTGCATTTATGAAGTGTCTTTCACAATCTCAGGATTCTCAGAGTGCTTTACAGCCAAGTAAGTGCTGTTCTTCCAAAGGAAAGTTGCCAGGGTTGGAGGATGTGAGCTACAGGGAGAGGCTGAGTAGGCTGCGGCTATTTTCCCTGGAGGGTGAGGGGTGACCTTACAGAGGTTTATAAAATCATGAGGGGCACGGATAGGATGAACAGTCAAGCTCTCTTCCCTGGGGTGGTGAAATCCAAAACTAGACAGCATATTGGAGAAAACATCCTTTCTCTCCAAAATTGCTCTTCAAAATTTTGAATTTTGAATTTTGCACTCAGATGGCAAAGGGAACCTTATTTCAACCAGTTATTTGAGAAATAACACCCCCAACAGTGAACACTCCCTCAGTGCAGCACTGAAATGCCAGACTTACTGTACAAACCTTTGGCATAACACTTGAAGACACAGTATTTAGCTGCCCAAAAATGAAAGGGAATAGGGTTAAGAAAAAGATTGACTTTGTTTTGCAATTCGAAGGGTTTGTAGGCTAGCCACAGCACTGACTGGATGCAAGTGAAGGTGATTTTATTCTGTGGTTCTGATTCTGGGTATCGTGGCACTAAACCCTTTTCATTGATTCTCCCCTATTTACATTCAATACCTGCTGCTGTTCTCCATTAGGCAGAGGCAGAACTGGAGCTGTTAAATCTGCTGTAATTTCAGAACAGTATCCTCCAAAGAAGCAGCTCTGCGCTTCACGAACAGCAACCAATAGTTTTATATTTTGTAATGCAGCAAACAAGAAGAGAATTGCAAGCATACCTTTAACCACTCTTTCATAACATTAAAGCACCTTAGATTCCTCCAATCCATCCACATGATATGTTTTCACTGCTAACTTTACAAGGGTGTACTTATTCCATCTATTTTGGTAGCTTGTGTGAAACAGTTGATTTAGTGCCCAATTAGGAGTAGCATTTTTGTACTGTAGACTAATGTCCAACCAAGGCCAATATAGTCCAAGCACAATTCTACTGAACGTCCCTTAACAGCTTTCAATGATTGTTAGTTCCTCTCACAGTCCATAAGAAACAAATTGATCCACAAGTTTAGCTGCATTGCAGTGATTTGCATAAGCCAGTGCTTATTCTGAGCAATGTTTTTACCCATTTTTTTTCATTTAATGCTTCTGGAATGTAGGCGTTGACAACTGGGCAGTATTTGTTACTCATCCCCAACTGCCTTTGAAGTGCTGATGAACACCTAACGTCTACAGTCTGTGGAGTGTGGTAGATCCACAGTGTTTTCTTTTCTTTATTCATTCATGGGATGAGGGTGTTGCTGGCTAGGCAGCATTTATTGCCCATCCCTAACTATCTTAAGGCAATTATGAGTCAACCACATTGTTGTGGGTCTGGAGTGAACCAGATTGTTTTTTTCCCCAACAATCAACAATGGATTCATGGTCATCATTAGACTCTTAATTCCAGATATTTATTGAATTCAAATTCCACCATCTGCCGTGGCAGGATTCGAATCCGGGTCCTGGAACATTATCTGGGTCTCTGGGTTAACAGTCCAGTGATAAAACCACTAGGCCATCACCTCCCCCTGTTAGGAAGGGAGGTCTAAGATTTTGACCCAGCAACAGTGAAGGAACAGCAATACAGGTCCAAGTTAGAATGGTGTGTGAATTGCAGGGGAATTTGCAGGTGCTGGAGTTTCTATGCATCTGCTGTCTTCGAGATGGTATAGTTTGGAAAGTGCTGTTCAAGGAGCCTGGGTGAGTTGATGCAATGCATCTTGTAGATAGTATACACTGCTGCCATTATGTGTTGTTGGTGAAGACAGTGATTGTCTTAGGAAGTTGATTGCGTGCTGATAAACTGGGCTTTGTTCTAGATAGCATTGTTAGGGATGAACTAATGGCAAGTGGATAGTATTCTTTTGACTGGTGCCTTAAAGATGGTGGACAGGCATTGAAAAACAGGAAATGAGCAACTAATGGGTTGCCTTCTATGAGCAGAATTCCAACATCCAAGACAGGTAGCAAGTTGTCCCACATGTTTTGCTGATAACGGCACTGTATGAAAACACAAATAGCAGCATTTGTTTCAGCCTAACTATAACTTTAATCTGAGTTTGTCATAAGTCTAGCTATTTTAGCATTAAGCTCTCTAATTCCCTCCCAAAACATATCCACCTCTCTTGACTCCTTTAAAATGCTCTTTAATCTCTTTAATGCTCTACATCTTTGACAAAGCTTCGGTCATCTCTCTCAATACATTGTGAGGCTTAGTGTCAAATATTGTCGGATAATGTTCCTACAAAACTATTTGGGAAGCCTTAACTACACTAGATGAACCATTAAACATGCAAGTTACTGGCATTAACTTGTTCATTGCTGAAGTTCTCCTTTTCTGAGTATGAAGATGATGGAATTAAATCATTAACTCTTTTAATATTTCATTTGAACAGCAGAGCTGAAATTTAAACAACTGTTTTTCATAGGTGGGAGCTCAGTAATCCTCAGTTCTGCGCAACAAAATATAAAACCAGGTCCAGATAGTATGGCAATGCATTCAAAACAGGTTAAAAACAAGAAATTATCAGTGAAATGGAAATCAAAGAGAACTCTTGTATAAAAAGGACAACAGCATTTTGGAATAAATTGTACAAGGTCACTGAAGCAAATGGTTCAAAACAATTCAACAAGCAGCTATGTGAGTTTTTGAGAGAAAGGATTGGATCATCTATTGATTAAGTGGCAATTCAGTAGACAACTAACGAATTAACCAAAATGCAGAAATGAGAGACAAACAAATTTGGTGACAAACAGATTACCTTCTGTCGTCTGCCAGTCATATTTGGTTGTCTACCCTGGTTTCTGCTTGTTGAAAATGTTTTTGCTGTGAAACAGAGATGGTCACAAGACAGTCATAGAGCTGTACCACGATGTGCCACGATGCCCAGAATCAGAACCACAGAATAAAATCACCTTCACTTGCATCCAGTCAGTGCTGTGGCTAGCCTACAGACCCTTCAAATTGCAAAGCATAATCTTAACCCCATTCCCTTTCATTTTTGGGCAGCTGGATACTATATCTTCAAGCATTATGCCAAAGGTTTGTTCAGTAAGGCTGACATTTCAGTGCTGCACAGAGGGAGTGTTCACTGTTGGGGGTGTTATTTCTCAAATAACTGGTTGAAATAAGGTTCCCTTTGCCATCTGAGTTCAATATTCAAAATTTTGAAGAGCAATTTTGGAGAGAAAGGATGTTTTCTCCAGTGTCCTGGTCGATATTGCCCCTGAACCAACAGCACCGAAACAAAAGATCTGATCATTGTCACATTGCTGTTTGTAGGAACTTAGTCATAGAGTTACAGAGATATACAACACGGAAACAGACCCTTTGGTCCAACTCATCCATGCTGACCAAATATCCTAAATTAATCTAGTCCCATTTGCCAACATTTGGCCCATATCTCTTTAAATCCTTCCTGTTCACAAACCTATCCAAATGCCTTTTAAATGTTGTAATTGTACCATCCTCCACCACTTCCTCTGGCAATTCATTCCATACACGCACCATCCTCTGCGTGAAAGAGTTGCCCCTTGCGTCCCTTTTAAAACCTTCCCTATCCCACCTTAAACCTATGCCCTCTAGTTTTGGACTCCCTTCCTCTAGGGAAAAGACTTTGACTATGCACCCTATCCATGCCCCTCATGATTTTATAAACCTGTAAAAGGTAACCCCTCACCCTCCGATGCTCCAGGGAAAATAGCCTCAGCCTATCCAGCCTCTCCCTACAGCTCAAACTTTCCAGCCCTGGCAACATCCTTGTAAATCTTTTCTGAACCCTTTCAAGTTTAACTACTTTGACTATAACACAAAAACATGTGAATTAGGAGCAGGAGTAGGCCATTCAGCCCATCAAGCCTACTATACCATTTAATAAGATCATGGGTGATCTAACTGCAATCTCAAATAACATTTTACCTCCTTGTTTAACATAAATCTGTTCATCTCCGCCTTAAAAATATTCAATAGCTCTGCTTTCACCAGCTTTTCAGAAATACAGGTCCAAAGACCCAATGAGAGAGAAAAAATTGGCTTCATTTCCGTTCTAAATGGATAACCCCTGATTTTTAAACTGAGGCAGATTTAGTTCTAGATTCTTTCGTAACAGGAAACAATCTCTCCACATCAACCATATCAAGGCCACTCAGAATCTTACATATTTCAAAGAAGTTACCTCTTACTCTTCTAAACTCTAATGGATACAAGCCTAGCCTATACAACCATTCCTCTCAAGAGAACTGCTCCATTCCAGGTGTTAGTCGAGTAAACATTCTCCAAACTTCCCCACAATGAATATACATCCTTCCTTGTATAAAGCGACCAAAACTGTGAACAGCAAGAAGTAAAATCGCCATAGTTTTGCCAGATCATAGGACTGCTCTCTCATTAGAGAAAGACAGATGATGGTGGTAGCTTAATCTGAGGGTCACCACATTTCAAGTGAGGGGAGAGATTGAGAAGGAGAGTCTTTCATGATAACTTCAGCCAGTTGTGGGAACTGAACCCATGCTGTTGGCGTTACTCTGCACTACAAACCAGTCATCCAGCCAACTGAAGCCAAGAGGTGCAATTGGTATATTTTAAACAAAAACTCTCAGAAAAACACAGGGACTTAAAGTTACATATTTTCCCAGGAAAATCTTTGCTCACGGTTGGTTGCCCTGAGCGTGCTGGTCACTGCACATTATTATAATGCTATTAAAATGAAAACTATTGTATACAGAAACATTACAAGAAGCCCTATTGATTTCCTGTTCAGGAGCATTCTAAACATTGTTGACACAAGGAATCAATGATAGTCTTGTTGTATTACACACCCTTATGCTAATACCACTGATGCATGGGTTCTCTTTAACAGAGGCAACCAATTATAACCATCAATTTCAATGCAGGAATTCAGCCACCCATAAATTAATACTTTTTTCCTGACCTTCTGTTCTATTAGGTCCAATTGTTCTTTATAAAAGGCTTCAAGTCTCTGAAGATCTGCTTCCTTCTTTTCCAGTTGGCTGGTCTGAAAAATAAAACGTGATATATAAAGTTAGAATAAATTTTGCTTAATACATTACCCTATTTCAAGCAAAATGAAATAAAAACAAAAAATGCTGGAAAAACTCAACAGGTCTGGCAGCATCTGTAGAGATAGATTTCAGGTTGATGACCTTACATCAGAATCAGAAAAAGTTGGAGTGAATCTGGTGGATTTTTTTTATAACAATAATCAATGACAGTGGTCATGGTCACCATTAGGACACTAACTTAAGTTCCAAATTTATTTATTTAACTTATATTCCACCAGATGCAGGGTGGGATTTAAACCTGCCTATTACAACTATGCCACTGCATCCTGTATTAAGTTTGAGTTTGATTTATTGTTGTCACATGTACTGAGATACAGTGACAAGTGTTGTTTTGTGTGGTCCATAGGCAGATCTTACCCCATAAAGTACATCAGGGCAGAAGAACAGAGTGCAGAATACAGTGTTTCAGCCACAGAGAAGGTGCAGAGAGAGAGATCAACATTAACTTTTGAGAGGTCCGTTCAAAGGTCTGATAGCAGTGAGGAAGAAGGTGTTTTTAATTCTGTTCATACGTGTTTTCGAATGTTTATATCTTCTACCCAGCAGAAGAGGGTGGAAGAGAGTATAACTGGTATGGGAGGGGTCTTTGATTATGTTGGTTGCTTTTCCAAGGCAGCAAGAAGTATAGATGGAGTGAATGGATGGTTTGCATGATGGACTAGGCTGTTTACAACTCTCTCCAGTTTCTTGCGGTCTTGGGAAGAACAGTTGCCATACCACGCTGTTATGCATCCAGACAGAATGCATTCTATGGTGCATCTATAAAAATTGGTAAGAGTCTTTGGGGACTTCCCAAATTTCCCTAGCCTTCTGAGGAAGTGTTGTGCTTTCTTGAGCATCAAGTCGATGTGGGTGGACCAGGATAAATTGTTGGTGATCATTACTCCCAGGAACTTGATGTTGTCGACCATCCCCACCTCAGCACCACTGATGCAGACAGGGATGTGCCCTTCACTCAACTTCCTGAAGTCAATGGCTAGCTCCTTCATTTTGCTGACATTAAGGGAGAGATTGTTGTCTTTACACTATGCATATTAATACATTAATATTACTCTCCACTAACAATTCACTACCAAATTACTTCAAAACAGTTTGAGCAATTTCTGAACTCTGCCCTAGCTTTAACCCAAATTATTCACTAACTCACGAAGCATGCAAAACGGCTCCACCTAAGAAGAATGCACTGCAAAAATGGGCATTCCACTGACAACTTGCATCACAGCAGACAATGACTACCAATCTTCCACAGTATTTTAGGCTTAAATTGGGGGCCGTAAGTACAAGTAATAAAAATTGCAACTGGCTGTGAAGAATTATAATTCCTCCCACTGCAAAACTCTGCTTTATTTCATTTTGTTGTTCTGCGTCAGTATCACTGCTGCAACCCACTTGTCATCGGCTGAAAGTAAATTGAAAAGCATCAAAAACATGCAGAACATGGACCTATAATCTGATGGCATTAATGAGTGAGAAGATGTGTGACTATCACACTAGGATCCATTTTAACACTCAGTTGTGACTTGTGCCTCTATAGTTCCTGATCTGCTAAAAAGCTGCAATAAAAATAAGCAATGACACTCCCATCACTGCCTAATGTTTCATTAGAAAACTTCCATTAGCTATGCTACATGATTCCCTTTATCAAAACTGTCACTCTCTAAACAAACTTCACGAACTGGACTTTGGATCATTCAAGTGGTACATCAATGTAGTTGTAGCAGTTTAATTGTACACTGAAATCTTCCTGCAGCTTAGTGGAAGGGTGCTGATTGCTGTGGTATTGAGCAAACACTCCAGAAAGGCCCCAAGTTCAAGCTCCAATCAGTCTTTGCTAAGGTCATTGATTTTACCCAAGTCAACAACAGAAGGCACTACAAAATGGCCTTGACTGGGAAAAGGCAAATATCATTAGCAAAGAACTTTACTTATCATTACCATCAAATTTTACCTTCAAGTGCAGATATGAGGCCAGGACTTAGCCATGATGACTCCCACTGATGGACAATCTGATGGAGGTACAGGGGAGCAAACAGCCTTACTCCAATCAAGATCGTCATTACTGGGACAACTGAGCAACAAAGACACAAACTATTTTTCCAAAAGTGGTAGTTCAGAGTGCAAAAAATTAACCAGTATATGTGGGCATTCAATCCCACCATTCTCTGCATGAGTCCAATCAAAAAACCAAAGAACTACACATGCTGGAAATCAGAAGCAACAAAATCAGAAATTGCTGGCCAAACTCAGCAGGTCTGGCAGCACAGGTGGAGAGAAAGCCATGTAATGTTTGTGGTCCAGTGACCCTTGCACAAATAGTTGAGGGAATTTGGCCGTACCAATGTTCCATTGCAAGACTCACATTAAAAAGGAAAGCAAAATACTGCAGATGCTGGAGATCTGAAATAAAAAAACAGAAAGTGAAGAAACTCTATAGGTCTGGCTAGTTCTGATGAAGAGTCATTGGACTCAAAACTTTGACTCTGTTTCTCTCTCAGATGCTGCTAGAACTGTTGAGTTTCTCAAGTATTTTCTATTTTCAAAACTAGAATTAATCAGCAACAACAAATTTCTGTAGATAATTAAACATCACTGTGCTCTTACAAGTCAATCATTTTCCAGGAAATTATGGCTTATGAATTATTTTATAAGTTCAGGAGATGTGGGCAGCACTGGCTACCTCATCCCTACTTGCCCTACAGAAGGTGATTATGAGCAGTCTTCTTGAATCAAAGCAGTCCACCCAAAGTGCTTACAGACAGACTTCCAGGATTGTGGCCCAGTGACAGTGAAGGAACAGTGATACATGTCCAAGTCACTGCATGTCTTAGAGAAGGTGTTGCAGATGCAGGCTTTCCCATGTGGTTTCTGCCCTTGCTTTTCTTGGTGGCAGATGTCACAGGTTTGGAACATGCTGTCAGAGAAGCCTTTGTGATTTACTACAAATGGTACACAGTGCTGCCAGTATGCATCAATGTTGAAGGGAGTGACTCCTGATGCTGGTGGAAGGGGTGCAAACCAGTGGACTGAGCTACTTTGGAGCTTCTTGAGTGTTGTTGGAACTTCACTAACCCATACATGAGACGGGTATACCATCGCTTGTCATGACTTGTCCCTTGTGGATGGCAGACAGGCTTTGGGTAGTTAGAAGGTGAATTACTCACTGCAGGATTACAAGCCTCTGGTCTGCTCTTGTAGCTATATTATTTTTTGGCTGGTCCAGCTCAGTTTCTGGTCAAAGGTAATTCCAGAATGCTGACAGTGGGCGACTCAGCAATGGTAATGCCATTGAATGTTAAGGGGCTTTTGTTAGATTCTCTCTTGTTCAAGATGGTCATTGCTTCCCAGTTGTGTGGCTCAAACAATACTTGCCATTTGTAAACCCAAACCTGGATGTTATCCAAATCTTCTTGCATGATCGTATTGCATTTAGAAATGGACTACTTCAGTAGCTGAGGAGTCAATACTGCTGGAGCCTCAGTGGTGAATGTTTGTAGATGTGGTGCTAATCAAATGGGCTGCCCTGTCCTGAATAGCGTCAAGTTTCTTGAGAGTTGAGCAATACTCTTCCAAACAAGTGGAAAATATTCCATCACACACCTGACTTATGACTTGTAGGTGGTGGACATGTTTTAGGGAGCTAGGAGATGATTTGTTCATTGCAGGATTCCTAGACTCTGACCTGCTCTTGTAGCTACAGTAGTTATATGACTTTTCCAGTACCCCCAGAATGTTGATAGTGAGGGATTCATCCATTGATTATCAAGGGGTGATGGTGAGATTCACTCTTAATGGATATGGTCATTTTTCAGCAGCTGTGTGGTGCAAATGTTATTTGCCACTTCTCAGCACAAGCCTGTATATTGTTCAAGCCTTGCTGCATCTAGACATGGACTGGTTCAGTATCTGATGAATGGTGCAGAACATGGTGCAATCCCTACCTCTGACCTTATGATGGACAGGAGATCATTAAATAAGCAGCTGATGGCATTGGACCTAGGACACCACCTGAGGAAGTCCTGTAGAGATGCCTGACCTCCAAAAGCCACAGCTATCTTTCTGTGTTCTAGCAGAGGGATTTCCCCTGATTCCCATTTACTCTAGTTTTGCTAAGCATCCTTGATGCCACATTCGATCAAATGCAGCCTTGATCTCATGTGCAGTCACTCTCACCTCTCCTCAGAAGTCAGCTGTTTTGTCCATTTTGAACCAAGGATCAGCAGGGCTGTGTGCCATTCTCATTTCCAGTGCCAAGTCAATGTCTGGTGGTCAACCTAGTTTCATTCCCTGGTTTAGACTCTGTAGCTGAACAATATTACTGAGTGGCTTGCTCAGCCATTTCAGAGGGCAGTTAAGAGTCAATCACATTGCTTTGATATTTAAAGTCACACACTCAGACCAGGTAATGATGGAAGATTTCCCTCCCTAAAGGGCATAGCCAACCTGATGCATTTTTAACAATTGACACAGTTGCTATCAGGCTAGCTTTTAATTCCAGATTTTATTGAATGCAAATTTCACCATCTGCCATGGTGGAATTCAAATGCATCTCTCCAGAACATTAGCCTGGGATTCTGTATTATTTGACCAGTGATATTATCACCACACCACTGTCTCCTACCAATTCAAATTAAGCTATTCACATGCAACACTAAAACTGCAACTAAATTTCGTGCCCCTATTCTGTCAAAAATGGTATTTAAAACTCAAATATTTGTGCATGATCATTTGTCTACAAAATGTAGCCATTGGAACCAACATCCAGCCACCTCCTTTACAATTAAAAGACACAATAATGCCTTAGAGAGGTTGCTCATGATTGGAATTCACCTGTTTGCTTGGCAAAGAATTGTTGTATTTAAATCTTAATACTGATTTCTAACAACAGGTGGTGAGTAATGAGACGGAGCCTCCTCCAGAGTTACAGCTCTCTGAA